ATTAATTTAAAAGAAAAGAAATTCTGTGTGTGTGTAAGCAATGGATATAAATATGAATTGACGATTAATTTAAAAGAAAAAAAATTCTGTGTGTGTGTAAACAATGGATATAGATATGAATTGACGATTAATTTAAAAGAAGGAAACGAGAATATGTGGTCAATACGGAGATTATTAGATTATGCAGATACAGATCAATGTTCACGGTATGGATGTTAATGAGAGGCTGGTAAGGAATGTATTAACGGTTTATTAACGGCGATTATTGATGAATGGCAATCCGTCATAAATGGTCGTCACGAAGCTGATCCAATCCTGTGCCAAGTCGTTGTTCCCAAGGATTATGTCCAGGTTGGCCAGATCGTCTGCGGATATACCATGTTTTATTGTTATGCAGTGACGGGAGTTTTCCCAAATGGGACATTCCAGCATAAGATGTTCTGTTGTCTGCTGTTTGTTGCTGCTGCATAGACAAGTACCGTCCTCGATTATTTTGAATCTACAGAGGTAATGTCTGGTGGCGCCATGGCCAGACAGTACTTGTGTCAATAATTTGCTCATACCGAGCTTGGACTGCACTCTTTCCGCAGTTGCCAAACTCGGGATAAGACGAACCGTCCATCTGCCGGTTGAAGCTTCTGTGTTTCGTGCAGTCCATTCAGCATTAGCTTTTTGTCGATATTCATGTTTAAATGTGGACACTGGCATTTTGTTGTATTCCTCAACGGCGAAGCTCTCCATCGTTGCCGTTTTTGCCAGTTGATCTGCCATTTCGTTCCAGACGTAATTTGTGTGCGCCTTGATCCAATATAGATAGACGTTCGTGCCTATTTCTTTTAGTTCGCCAATTCTGTTGTTGATGTCGATTACTAATGGATGGCAGTTATTGCAATCTCTAATCGCCTCCAGGGAAGATCTTGAGTCAGAAAATATTTGAACGGTGACATTGCTTTCGGGTTGGAACTGCAATAAAGACATTTTGATAGCTAGCAGTTCTGCTTGGAAGACAGAACAGTGATCAGCCAGTTTCCACTTTTTTTGATCGATTAGTTGTTGATTTTTGGTAACGATACATGCTGCACCAGTGTGATTGTTCAGCTTACTACCATCAGTGAAGATCGAGATTTTTTCGTTTGTTATACGCTTGTTGATTTCATTGTGATCGACAATTTTCAAATATTCTTTTATGATTCTTTTTCCTGGATGTGGAAGACTTGTGACGGGAACTGTTTTTTCCAGATCAATATTAATGTTTTCATCTTGTTCTTTACCCAGCAATTTCACCCTTTCCACAGCTGCTCTTTCCTTTATTTTAATATCGATGGGCATCACATTGTTAATAAGAAAGGTAGACGTGTATGACATTGTTCTGTGACCTTTGCATACTTTTATTAAGATTTTTCTTTGGACACTTAGGATTCGCTGTGCTATCTTTTTCTTTGTGTGTGTGTGTGTGTGTGTGATTCGATTGCCGGTTTTGAATCTGAAAAAAGATCCTTTTCGTTTTCGTTTTCGATCAAAAAAGATTCTGTAATTTTTCTCATTGACAAAACAAATGAAAAGTTATCCCAAAAAGTATCTCTGCACTGTGTTGTTGGCCTTGTTGTTTTTTTATCTGTTTCTGCACTTGGCATACTGGCCCTGATATTGGCAATTTTTTGTTTCGTTCGTTTTGTTTTTTTGGAATGGAATTGGCCAGTACAGAATTGGTTAACGAGTCCAGAATATTGGATATTAGTTTTTACGCCCAAAATAGAATCCAAAAGCACACAGAAAAAAAATTCCTACTAAAAATGGATCCCGGGACTGTAATAAACCAACAAATAAAATGAATGAATGAAAAATCCAGGGCAAGGATAATGCGCAAATCATCATTTACCAATATTTGGCTATACATACAGGATGTGTGTGCGTTATGCTGATAATGATTACAAATTAACATCTGGCCTCTTTTAAAAGTTGATGTTTTTCAAGTTTTCAGTTTTTCAAGTCGGTTTTTTGGTTGGTTGGTGCAAAATCCAATTTGATTAGCAAAAAAAGAAAAAATCTAAATTGATTAGAATCAATGAGAAAAAACCGAGAGATATTCCACCAATAACAACATAATGATGATGATAAAATAGAAAACCTTCACCATCAAATGATCAATGATGATGATCAATGAATGAATTGAATTCGAGGTTAATGTGATAACCCTTTTCCCCCCCCGTTTTTCTGTTTTGTTTTGTTTTGTTTGCATATTTCATGATAAACACATTCATGAAAAAATGACGATTTTTTTTTCATTATCAAATTCATGGCTTTCTATTTTTCCTTGAATGAAGCAAAAGCAAAACAAAACTGAAAAAATTTATCAAAATTGACATTCACACACAAAGATAATGTTAGTTTTGTTTTCTCTTCGTAATTTTTTACCTTGAATATATTTTTTTAAAATGCGAGTTTTGTGCTGTTTTGTATGTTTTTATTGATATATCAATGCCATTTCTATTGATGATAATAATAATGATGATGATGATCATCATCATCATGACTATGATGATTGTCAATGTTAATTCCTTTTTTATGTTTTTTTT